GAGGGGGTGGCACCTCCCACTGAGCCGACGCCCTTGGGGGCGCTGCCTTCGAAGTCAAGGCAGCCATGTTGGACACTGGCAGTATGCTATCTTTGCCCATATTAAAAATGGCAGCTCCACCACACAGTCAAGGCAGCCATGTTGGATACTGGCACAGACATCGCCTCTACTGAAGGTGGGGCTTGTCCTGAAGCTACAGCAGACATATTGGCTACTGGCAGAAATCACATCACCTCCCATAGCCCCAGTCTGGAGACCATATTGGATTCTGGCCCCATATTCCCCACAGTGGAGGGGTCACTCACCGAGCTTAGGTACGGGGAGGGCGCCCCCGAGCCCTGCAGGGGGAAGCCCGAGGTCGCCTGGAGAGAGAGGCCAGAGGACGATGGGGACGAGGCTCCGCCAAGCTGGGGGCTCCGCTTCCTGGAGAGGGGAGAGAGAGACAGACACAAGAAGTTACCACAGCAGCCATGTCACATACTGGCACAGGTCCATCCACTGCCCATATTAAAGATGGCAGCTCTACCCAGGAAACCAGGCCAGCCATGTTGGATTCTGGCACAGACCCCACCCCAAGGGAAGGCGGGGCCTCATACTCACCTCTTCAGTGGCTGTGGCTCCGCCCCCTTTGGCCCCTCCCATCACTGTTCTCTGAGGAGGCTGTGGCCTCCGAGTCTGGAAGGGCAATGGGGGGAGGTTAATAAGGGAAAATACCCCTCCAGCCCCCCCAAACCACCCTGTGTCCCCTCCCCCCAGCACCCACAGCCTGCTCTGAACCACCCTCCGGCCTGTCCCCATTGACAGACACCCCCCAGCCCCCAACTGTCCCCCCATTAACAAACATCCCCTGCCCTCCTCAACCACTGCCCCTCCCCTGATGTGCAGCCCCCCAAATCCTCTTATGACCTGTGCCCCTCACTGCACCTTCCCCTCAACACTCACAGACGCCCCCAAATCCCACAACAACCTGCCCCCCCCGTGGCCCTCCCATGACCCCTCCCCTGAAATCCGCCTCTGAGCTGTGACCCCCAACACACGCCAGCCCCTCCCCTCAGCCAATGGACTGAGCCCCAGCCAGGGACTTCTCCCCACCTCAGGCCCCCTCATAGAGCACCCATCCCCCACATGCCAGCGCCCCAGGACCCCAAAGATGCCCCAACTGCACCCGGCTCCAGACCCCTGCACCCGAGACGTCTCCCCAGGCGCCCCGAACCCTGCTAAGCACCAGGAGAGGGTCCGGGATACCCGCAGCCCGGCTCCGGGGGGGCCACAGGACGGGAGCAGGGGGACACTAAGGGGGCCGAGCTCAGGAGGGTCCCCCCCGCCCCGCACCTGACGATTCCTCGTCCACGTGCTCGTGCTGCAGCAGCCGGTCCAGCAGGAAGCTGGGCAGGGAAAAAACCGGAATCAGAAACCCCCAGATCCCCCCCGCAGCCCCCCAGCCCCCGCCCCACAGCCAGCCCTGCCCCATCCCCCTCCCGCTCTGCCAGTGCCCCTCACTCCCACCCCCAGGCCCACCCCTGCCCCACTGCCAGCCCCCCATCCCCCTCCGCCGGTGCCCCTCACTCCCACCCCCAGGCCCGCCCCTGCCCCACTGCCAGTCCCCCCATCCCCCTCCGCCGGTGCCCCTCACTCCCACCCCCAGGCCCGCCCCTGCCCCACTGCCAGTCCCCCATCCCCCTCCCCCTCCGCCGGTGCCCCTCACTCCCACCCCCAGGCCCGCCCCTGCCCCACTGCCAGTCCCCCCATCCCCTCTCCCCTCCGCCGGTGCCCCTCACTCCCACCCCCAGGCCCGCCCCTGCCCCACTGCCAGCCCCCTCCCGCTCTGCCGGTGCCCCTCACTCCCACCCCCAGGCCCACCCCTGCCCCACTGCCAGCCCCCCATCCCCCTCCGCCGGTGCCCCTCACTCCCACCCCCAGGCCCGCCCCTGCCCCACTGCCAGCCCCCCATCCCCCTCCCCCTCCGCCGGTGCCCCTCACTCCCACCCCCAGGCCCGCCCCTGCCCCACTGCCAGCCCCCCTCCCCCCCCGCTCTGCCGGTGCCCCTCACTCCCACCCCCAGGCCCACCCCTGCCCCACTGCCAGCCCCCCCCATCCCCTCCCCCTCCGCCCCCTCACTCCCACCCCCAGGCCCGCCCCTGCCCCACTGCCAGTCCCCCATCCCCCTCCCCCTCCGCCGGTGCCCCTCACTCCCACCCCCAGGCCCGCCCCTGCCCCACTGCCAGTCCCCCATCCCCCTCCCCCTCCGCCGGTGCCCCTCACTCCCACCCCCAGGCCCGCCCCTGCCCCACTGCCAGCCCCCTCCCCCTCCTGCCGGTGCCCCTCACTCCCACCCCCAGGCCCACCCCTGCCCCACTGCCAGCCCCCTCCCGCTCTGCCGGTGCCCCTCACTCCCACCCCCAGGCCCGCCCCTGCCCCACTGCCAGCCCCCTCCCGCTCTGCCGGTGCCCCTCACTCCCACCCCCAGGCCCACCCCTGCCCCACTGCCAGCCCCCCATCCCCCTCCCCCTCCGCCGGTGCCCCTCACTCCCACCCCCCAGGCCCGCCCCTGCCCCACTGCCAGCCCCCCCATCCCCCTCCCGCTCTGCCGGTGCCCCTCACTCCCACCCCCAGGCCCGCCCCTGCCCCACTCCATCCCCCCCCCTCCCCCCCCCCACCCCCAGCCCCCCCTCCCCACTGCCGCCCCCTCCCCCTCCGCCGGTGCCCCTCACTCCCACCCCCCAGGCCCGCCCCTGCCCCACTGCCAGCCCCCCTCCCCCTCCGCCGGTGCCCCTCACTCCCACCCCCAGGCCCACCCCCCCCCCCCTGCCCCACTGCCAGCCCCCCCATCCCCCTCCCCCTCTGCCGGTGCCCCTCACTCCCACCCCCAGGCCCGCCCCTGCCCCACTGCCAGCCCCCCCATCCCCCTCCCGCTCTGCCGGTGCCCCTCACTCCCACCCCCAGGCCCGCCCCTGCCCCACTGCCAGCCCCCCATCCCCTCCCGCTCTGCCGGTGCCCCTCACTCCCACCCCCAGGCCCGCCCCTGCCCCACTGCCAGCCCCCCCATCCCCCTCCCGCTCTGCCGGTGCCCCTCACTCCCACCCCCAGGCCCGCCCCTGCCCCCCTGCCAGCCCCCCCATCCCCCTCCCGCTCTGCCGGTGCCCCTCACTCCCACCCCCAGGCCCGCCCCTGCCCCACTGCCAGCCCCCCCATCCCCCTCCCGCTCTGCCGGTGCCCCTCACTCCCACCCCCAGACCCGCCCCTGCCCCACTGCCAGCCCCCCTCCCCCTCCCGCTCTGCCGGTGCCCCTCACTCCCACCCCCAGGCCCGCCCCTGCCCCACTGCCAGCCCCCCTCCCCCTCCCGCTCTGCCGGTGCCCCTCACTCCCACCCCCAGGCCCACCCAGGCCCACCCCTGCCCCACTGCCAGCCCCCCATCCCCCTCCCCCTCCGCCGGTGCCCCTCACTCCCACCCCCAGGCCCGCCCCTGCCCCACTGCCAGCCCCCCCATCCCCCTCCCGCTCTGCCGGTGCCCCCTCACTCCCCCCACCCCGGGCTCCCCCGGTACCTTTTATCCCGCGACACCTTCAGCAGCTTCCTCTGGGCCTTGCGAAGCTCCTCCTGGAAACACTCCTGCTCCTGGGGGGGGGGGGTTAGCGCCGGGTCTGGCCCCGCCTCGCCCCTCCCCTGTGACCCCCCACTCTCGCCCCGCCCCCCTCCGACCCCCCCACTCCCGCCCCGCCCCCCCTCCGAGACCCCCACTCCTCGCCCCGCCCCCTCCGACCCCCCCACTCCCGCTCCTCGCCCCGCCCCCTCCGACACCCCCCACTCCCGCCCCTCCCCCCTCCGACCCCCCCACTCCCGCCCCTCGCCCCTCCCCCCTCCGACCCCCCACTCCCGCTCCTCGCCCCGCCCCCTCCGACCCCCCCACTCCCGCCCCTCCCCCTCCGACCCCCCCACTCCCGCCCCTCGCCCCGCCCCCCTCCGACCCCCCCACTCCCGCCCCTCCCCCTCCGACCCCCCCCACTCCCGCTCCTCGCCCCGCCCCCTCCGACACCCCCACTCCCGCCCCTCGCCCCGCCCCCCTCCGACCCCCCCACTCCCGCTCCTCGCCCCGCCCCCCCCGACACCCCCCACTCCCCTCCTCGCCCCCCCCTCCAACACCCCCCTCCCGCCCCCCCCCTCCGACCCCCCCACTCCCGCCCCTCGCCCCGCCCCCTCCGACACCCCCCACTCCCGCCCCTCCCCCTCCGACCCCCCCCACTCCCGCTCCTCGCCCCGCCCCCCTCCGACACCCCCACTCCCGCCCTCGCCCCCCCCTCCCCCGAGACCCCCACTCCCCGCCCCCTCCGACCCCCCCACTCCCGCTCCTCGCCCCGCCCCCCTCCGACACCCCCCACTCCCGCCCCCCCCCCTCCGACCCCCCCCCCCCCCCCCCCCTCCGACCCCCCACTCCCGCTCCTCGCCCCGCCCCCTCCGACCCCCCCACTCCCGCCCCGCCCCTCACGTAGATCAGCAGCTTCAGGCGCCGCTTCAGGGCCCGGTAGCGCCGCTTGTAGCCGCCGGGCTCCGCCTCGGCCCCGTTCATCGCCGGCGGCTCCCGGCATCCCCCGCGCGGGGGCGGGGTCTAGCTGCCCACGGCCCGTTCCCAGACAGCGCCACACCTCCCGTCAGCCCCCGCGCCCGCTCCCCATTGGCCCGTTCCCAGGCAGCGCCACACCTCCCGTCAGCCCCCGCGCCCGCTCCCCATTGGCCCGTTCCCAGGCAGCGCCACACCTCCCGTCAGCCCCCGCGCCCGCTCCCCATTGGCCCGTTCCCAGGCAGCGCCACACCTCCCGTCAGCCCCCGCGCCCGCTCCCCATTGGCCCGTTCCCAGGCAGCGCCACACCTCCCGTCAGCCCCCGCGCCCGCTCCCCATTGGCCCGTTCCCAGGCAGCGCCACACCTCCCGTCCCCCCCCCCCTCTCCATTGGCCCGTTCCCAGCAGCGCCACACCTCCCGTCAGCCCCCGCGCCCGCTCCCCATTGGCCCGTTCCCAGGCAGCGCCACACCTCCCGTCAGCCCCGCGCTACGGTGGCCGGACAGGCTCAGGAGGCGGGAAAGACGCGGCGAGGCGATGGCTGCGGAGCGGGAGATGCGGGACTTCACTCGCGGGCTCTTCCAGGGCAGCCCGGACCTCAGGTGCCCCCAGGCCCGGACTCCTGGGCTCTCGAGGGGTCCGGTGGGGGGGGAGCAAAGGATTGTGGGAGCTTTCTCAGGGGTTGGGGGGGGGCAAAGGATTGTGGGAGCTGGACACCTGGGTTCTGAGGGGTCTGGTGGGGGGAGAAAGGATTATGGGAGCCTGGACACCTGGGTTCTCGAGGGGTCTGGTGGGGGGGAGCAAAGGATTATGGGAGCCTGGACACCTGGGTTCTCGAGGGGTCTGGTGGGGGGGAGCAAAGGATTGTGGGAGCCTGGACACCTGGGTTCTCGAGGGGTCTGGTGGGGGGGGAGCAAAGGATTGTGGGAGCCTGGACACCTGGGTTCTCGAGGGGTCTGGTGGGGGGGGAGCAAAGGATTGTGGGAGCCTGGACACCTGGGTTCTCTAGGAGTCTGGTGGGGGGGAGCAAAGGATTATGGGAGCCTGGACTCCTGGGTTCTCGAGGGGTCTGGTGGGGGGAGCAAAGGATTGTGGGAGCCCGGACACCTGGGTTCTCTAGGAGTCTGGTGGGGGGGGAGCAAAGGATTGTGGGAGCCCGGACAGCTGGGTTCTCTAGGGACCTGGTTGGGGGGGGAGCAAAGGATTGTGGGAGCCCGGACAGCTGGGTCTCTGGGTGGGAAGGGGTTCAGTGGGTTAGAGCAGGGGACCAGGACCCCGGACTCCTGGGTTCTCTAACCCCCGTCTGCCCTGTGCCTGCAGCGTGCTGACGCTGGCCATGGTGCGGAGGAAGTACCTGGCGCACGTGGGCCGCGGGAGCCTGGTGCGGGAGGAGAAGGAGCTGCTGAAGCAGCTGGTGGAGAAGGAGCTGCTGAGAATGCAGGTGAGGGGGGGGCCGCCAGGGGGGCTCGGCGGCGGTGGGTTCCTGTATAACCTCATTGGCCTTTCCTAGCAGCTGGATGATTCCAGCTCCGACGCGGGGTCCCCGCACCCCGAGAACGCCCGGGACGTCCCTGAAGCCGGGGCTGAGAAGCGACCCCGCAGCGGCTCCAACTCGTCGGGGGGAGGCCCCAAGGACACGGCAAGAAAGAAACAGCGACTGGATCAGGGTTCTGGTGAGCAGGTGCCCCCCCCCGCCCCGGAGGGGCCACGTCCCAGCGCCGGGCGGGGGGTCCCCGTGTGCCCAGCCCCCGCCCCGGAGGGGCCACGTCCCAGCGCCGGGCGGGGGGTCCCCGTGTGCCCAGCCCCCAGCCCCGGAGGGGCCACGTCCCAGCACCGGGTGGGGTGGTCTCCGTGTGTCCCAGTGCTCAATTAACCCCTTGTCTCCCGTCTGGTTTCCAGAGGCCAGTTCTGATGGGGAGGATTCTGGGATTGATTCGAGGAAGCCAAAACTGGCTGCTGCCCAGGGGGATGCTGGGAAATCCGGGCACACAGGATCATGGGAGGACAAGGGGGACTCTGGAGCAGAGGAGACACCCGAGCGGGGTGGCACTGGCAGAGAGAGCGACTCCGAGTGGGCAGCCGGGAGCGAGGGAATGAAGCAGCCCCCGAGGAGAACAGAGGGCGCCAAGGCGCAGGACCGGCCGGGGAAGAAGCGAGCGAGAGAGGCAGAGCGGAGGGGTGACTGTGGGGAGCAGGAGGGGAAAGCGAACGGGGGGATCACAGCTCAGAGGGAGGAGGAATCGGGGAGCGAATCAGCAGTGGAGGAGGAGGAGTGTAAGCGGCAGAAGCAGACAGGGAAGACGGGAACGAGGAAGGCCAAGCGGAGGAGTGATAGCGAGGAGGAGGGGGACAGCAAGAAGAAGGGGCGGATGAAGGCTTGGGGGAAGGAAGTGGGGAGCGACTCCGAGGTGGAAGAGAAGGAGTGTCAGAGTAGAAAAGGGGCAGGGAAGAAGGGAACAAGGAAGGCAGGGAGATGGAGTGATAGTGAGGAGGAAGAGAAAAAGGAGAAGATAACAAAGTCTCAGAGAGAGGAGGAGTCAGGGAGTGAGGAGGAGAGTAGGGGCCGGAAGCCGGCAGGGAAGAGGGGAGCAAAGAAGGCCGAGCGGAGGAGCGATAGCGAGGCTGAGGAAGTGGGGAGCAGGAAGAGGGGCAGGGTGAAGGCTCAGAAGGGGGAGGAATCGGGGAGTGAGGAAGAGGAGGGTAGGAGCCAGAAGTCATCAGGGAAGAAGAGAACGAAGAAGGCCGAGTGGAGGAGCAATAGCGAGGCTGAGGAAGTGGGGAGCAGGAAGAGGGGCAGGGTGAAGGCTCAGAAGGGGGAGGAATCGGGGAGCGAGGAAGAGGAGGGTAGGGTCGGCAGGGAAGAGAAGGAGGGGGGGGGGGGGGGGGGGCCGGGAAGTGGGGAGCAGGAAGAGGGGCAGGGTGAAGGCTCAGAAGGGGGAGGAATCGGGGAGCGAGGAAGAGGAGGGTAGGAGCCGGAAGTCGGCAGGGAGGAAGAGAGCGAAGAAGGTGGAGCTGGAGAGGAAGAAGAGGAGGATGAAGGCCCAGAGTGAGGAGGAATCGGGGAGCGAGGAGGAGGAGGAGAGCAGGAAGGAGACGGGGAGGAAGGGAAGGGGGAAGGCCGAGCGGGGCAGCGAGAGCGAGGAAGAGGAGCGTAAGCCGAGGCTGAAGGCTGAGGAGGAGGGGAAGGCGAGGCAGAGGGGCAGCTCCGAGACAGACGAAGACTCTTCCTCCTCCTCCTCCTCCGCGCAGGATGAGAACAACAGCCCCAACCCAGGCTCCCGGCGCAAGAAGGGAAAGGTGAGGTGGGGGATGGGACCCAGGAGTCCGGGGCGGCTCCCCTAGGGGGTGTGCAGTGCCCCCAGAGCCCGTGGGACCCAGGCGTGGAGGGCGGTTTCCTGCAGCGCCCCCAGAGCCTGGGGTGGGGGTGGGACCCAGGCGTCCAGGGTGGCTCCCCAGCGGCACCTCCAAAGCGGGATTACTAACTGCCACTGCACTGAACCAATTTTTATCTCCCGGCAAAATTGTTTTAACTGTCCTGAGAGAGGAAACAGGAACCGACACTTGAGGAAATGGCATTTTTCTCCTACTGCAAATTATTTAAAGTCAATTAAAGGAACGAAGACCTTGAACTGAAATTGTTTTTTCCAGTGGGAAATGGGTTTAAAATTCCCCAAAGCACCAAGAAATAGCGAAATGAAATTCTGGTTCCATGAATTATTTTTACCATGAAAAAACGTGTCTGCCAACGGGGGGGAGGACTGAGGCTGGAGATCGCCCTAAAAACACTGGCTGTCTCCAGGAAAACAATAATACAAAAGTGAAAAGTTGGAACGTTAAATTTTATTGCATGAATTTTCTTTCTTTCTTTTGTGTGGACAGGGGGTTTTAAAGCTGGAGAAAGGGAACAGGAAATTGACAACTGAAATTTCTCTACGTTTTTTTCCCCAGTGGAAAATTTGTTTTAAAATCCGGGAGAAAGGAGCTGGGGTAGCGCTCAATGCGTTTCCTTTTCTCCTGGCAAGTTAGTTTTAAAAGTCGGGGGAAATGAAAAAAAACCTGGTAGATGAAACTTTACTGTGTGAAGTTTTGTCCCCATTCCCCCCCCCCCCCCGTGGAAATTTTTTGTAGACCGAGAAAAGGAAAAGAGAAACTGAGCACTGAAATTTTGCTGTTTGAATCTCACTTGCCCCCCAGGTGGAAAAATTGTTTTAAAATGCCGGGGGGAGGAATTCTGAACAGAAATTGCACTAAAAAGTTTTATAACATTTTTTCCCAGCAGAAATTATTTTTTCAAGTTACAAAACTGGACGCTGGGAAATGAAGTTTTGCTACATTCTTTCCCTTTCCAATGGGGAAAACTGGTTTAAAATTCGGGTCACAGAAATTGCTCAGTGAAATCATGCCACGTGATCTTTGTTTCTCCTAAAAATTACTTGAAAAGGGGGGAAGGAAGTGAACTGAATTGCGACTCCAGGTTTCTCCGGGTGGAAATTTGCTTTCCAAGCTGGAGGAAAAGGCAACAAGAAATGAGGACCGAACATGGCACTGGGTGGATTTCTTTTCCGGGGGGGGAATGGTTGTAAAGGGGGAGAAGAAATGGCGAAGTGGAGGTTTACTGCAGGAATTGTTGTTTTATCCCATGGAAACTTTCGCCTTTTTAAAAAGCGAAAAAGGAGTCGGGCTGAGGAAAGCCACCAAGAGCCGAAACTTTCCGACGGTAATTTCCTCTTTCCAGTGGAAGGGGTCGGAGAGTGGCGGGAAGTGAGAACAAACCACCCAACCCGCCGCTTTTAAAGGAACCTTTTGGCCCTGTTTGATTTCCCCGCGCGCTGCGGAGAGGTGGGAACAGGCCCCGCCCCCTTGGGGGCTGCCCCTAACCTGTCCCCGCCCCCCAGGCGCCGGGCCCGGCGGAGGAGCACCCGGCGGTACGGCGGCTGAAGCGCTGCATCCTGGCCTGTGGCGTGCGGCGGAACTACGGGAAGCTGCTGGCCGGGTGTCGCTCCGTCAAGCAGCGGGTCGGGGTCCTGCGCCGGGAGCTGGAGGCCATTGGGCTGCAGGGTGAGTGGGGGGGCTTGGGGCAGAGGCAGGGAGATGGATGGGGATGGAGGGGGCGGGCAGGGTGGGGATCAAGGAGCGGATGGGGGGCAGACAGGGTGGGGGGGTTGGAGATGGGGCAAGGAGGGAGGGTTGGGGGTACAGGGAAGGGGGACTGAGGTGAGGCAGAAGAAACGGGGCCCCTGGACTGAGTTGGGGGGAGGGAGCTGGGAGGGGCCGGGCTGGGTGGCTCCCCAGGAGAGCCCCCCCCCCGTTGTAACCCCCGCTCCCCCCAGGGAACCCCTCTCTGGAGCGGTGCCGGGCGCTGCGGCTGCACCGGGAGGAGGCAGCCGAGTTGGCAGCACTGGACGTGGGGAACATCATCGTCTCTGACGGTGAGGGGGGCAGCCAGGAGGGGGATGTGGGGGCAGAGGGGGAGGCCGGAGGGGGATGTGAGGGCGGGGGGCAGAGGGGGAGGTGGGCAGGGGAGGGGGATGTGGGGGCGGGGGGCAGAGGGGGATGTGGGGGCGGAGGGGGAGGCTGGCAGGGGCGGAGGGGGATGTGAGGGCGGGGGGCAGAGGGGGAGGCGGGCAGGGGAGGGGGGCAGCCGGGAGGGGGATGTGGGGGTGGAGGGGGAGGCTGGCGGGGGCGGGGGGCAGCCGGGAGGGGGATGTGGGGGCGGGGGGCAGAGGGGGAGGCGGGCAGGGGAGGGGGATGTGGGGCTGGAGGGGGAGGCTGGCAGGCAGGAGAGGAGACATGGGGGCAGAGGGGGGAGAAGAGACCGGGCAGCAATCCAGAGGTGCAGTTGGGAGTGGAAGAGGGGCTGGGGGGGGGGGGCTCGATCCAGGGGTGGGGTTGGGGGGTGGATCCCACAGGCGGGAGATGGGGCTGGGGGTTGGGGCTAAGGAGGATGGATCCAGAGGAGGGGGCGGGGGAATGTGGGGCTGGGGATTGGGGGGGACGGGACCCCATCTGGAGCTGACCCCCCTCTACCCCCCCACAGGCCGCCCCCGGCGCCGCAACATCTGGAGTCTGTACAGCACCCCCCCCGGCCGTCCCCCCAGCTGCCCCCCCAGACGCCGACGGGGGCCCCCCATCCCGGTGCCCCACTGACTGGTCCAGCCTCCGCGGCGTGATCAGCAGTGACGGGGAGAGCGACTGAGGCGGGGGGCGGCACCTGGGTATAACACCCTCCCCCCACCCGCTGTGGGGCTGGGAGTTGGGGCTCGCCCCTGCCATTCCCTGCTTGGAAGGGCCTGTTGTTTGGGGGGGGCATATTGGGGAGGGCTCCCCATTGGAAGGGGTAGGATCAGGGGAGCAAATCGGTCTCCCATTCCCCACTTGGTAGGGGGCAGGTGTGGGGCTCTGGGGCCAATTTAGGGTGAACACGAGACAGAAATTGGGGGGTAACCCCTGGTGTCTGTCACTTTCTGGGCTGAGCCCACCCAACACCCCAAAACTGGAGGTTGGGGGACCCCTGAGCCACTAGAGGGGCTCCCTGCAGAGCTGGGAGGCAGCTGTCTGTCCCCAGGGGAACCAGAGGTGACCCCAAAATATTACCACATGGGCCCCTCAATGAAGGATGCTGGGGCAGGGGGCTGGATGTGTCCTGTCTTGGGGGGCACCCCCTAGATCTATAGCCTGGGGGCAATTCCCCCTCTCCATTGTCCCCAAACCCCCCCAGTTGTAAATGTCTTTGTTTTATGGGAGTTTTTTATATTATAAAATAAAGTGAATTTTGTAATTTAAGGGGTGAGCGAGCGAGCAAGTGCCCCCTAGACCCCCCCCACTGCGGCCAGTGCCCCCTCAAACCTTCCACTGTGGCGAGTGCCCCCCAGCCCCCCCACTGCAGCTGACTGCCTCCAGCTGGTTTAATTCAAAGGTTAATTTTTATTAATGAGCGCTCTCCGCTCGTTAAGTCGGTACAAACCCTGGGTAAGGAATATAGACCTTTGGCGCTATGTACAGAGCTATACAGGGGCTGAGAGCAGATGCCCCCCCCACTAATGCCCCCGGGGGGGCAGCAGTTTCGATCTCGTCTCTCTGGGGGGCAGAGAAGGAGTTTGCAGGGGGATGTGACTTGGAAGGCGGCGAGTTGGGTGTTTGTGGTAGGCCCTGGGGGGGGGGGGGGGTCACACAATGCGGGGGGGGCTTTTATGCTCAGTGACTCTCCCCCCCCCCCTTTAAACACACGCCCACCCCCCCGCACACACACACAGTCTCTGAGGTTAGAAAATGCCCCTTTGTGGGACATCTGCCCCCAAGTCCCTCCTCCAGGGGCAAATGCAGCCAACGGTGCCCCTCCGGTGCTCAGTCTGCCCCGGCGGGGCAGGTAGACGGGTCCCGGGGCGCCCGCCCCGCCTATCTGTAGCTCCAGAGGGGCACCAGGCCGCGGGTCTCGCTCTCGTAGACGTCGGGCAGCGGGCCGAGGGGCGAGGGCACCATGCGCACGGTGTTCTTGCCGAAGAGCTGCTGCTCGTAGGCGATGAGCTGGCGCCAGAAGCCGGCGTTGGGCCGCACCACGGGCCGCCGGCTCCGCACCCACTGGTGGGCGTCCAGCAGGCTGAGGCGGTGGTACTTCATCAGGTAGGCGATGCAGAGCGAGGCCGAGCGGCTCACGCCCGCCACGCAGTGCACCAGGGTGCGCCCATTGCGCTTGCCCGTCTGGTGGATGCGGTCGGCCACCGAGTCGAAGTAGAGGGCCAGGGGGGCGTGGGGCAGGTCGGCCACCGGCACCTTGACGTAGTCGATCTCGGGCCAGTTGGCGTTGGGGAGCTCCATGGTGGCGTTGACCACGCAGGTCACCGCCCGGGCCCGCACCAGCTGCCGGTTGGCGGCCGCGTTGCCGCTGCAGAGGTAGAGGCAGGGCGAGATCTGGGCGATGCCCCCCAGCGCCGGGACCGCCCCAGCCCCGGGGGCCGGCTTCGCCGCGGGGGGGGGGCTGCGCCGGAAGAACCCGGGCGTCCGGAAATTCATGGTGGAGGCCTCGGCGTACATGGGGGACAGCTGGGGGGAGAGAAAGGGGGGGCGTTCAGGGGGGGCTCTGTGCCCCCCACAGCCAGGGCCTGCCCGGGGGCGGAGACCCCCTGGAGGGCACAGGCCCCAGCTCCACCCCACCCCCATCCACCTGTGTTCCCGCCCCCCCCTGGGGCAGGTACCAGGCCCCACCGGTCTCCATCCCTTCACATTCCCCCTCCCCTGGGGCTGGGGGAGGCAGAGTCCGAACGTTCCCGAGTCAGCCCCCCCAGATTTCTCCAATGCGGGGGGGGGGGGATACACGAGAGCGGACGATCCTGCGCCGCCGGACGCCTGGGTCCTCCCCCAAATCCCGAGGCGAGAGCCCTCCCCACCCCCCTCGCCCTGGCTCCGCCCCAGACGCCCCCGCTGTGGGGATGCAGGGAAGAAGTAGGGCGGGATCTTGGGGGGAGGGGGGCACAGTCCTGTCCCCCCCCCCCCGGCCGGGGCATCCTACCTACCTCCGCATGGCCCAGCCGCTCCCCGCGTGGGGCTAGCGGGGCAGCCGGGAGGCCGCCTCCACCCCGCCGCGGAACCCAGGCATCCGAGTCTGGGAGCCGCGGGGGCGGGAGGGGGCTGCAGGGCTGATGCGCAGAAAACGGAGGGGGGAGGGATGGGCCCAGCCCCTTAAAGGGCCAGAGCGCGACTGCCAGCCCCGCCCCCCCCAGCCCTGCCGCTGCCCCCCACTCCCGACCCGCAGCCCCCTGCCCGCCCAGCCCCGCCCCCCCAGCTCTGCCGCTGCCCCCCACTCCCGACCCCCTGCCAGCCCCGCCCCCCCAGCCCTGCCGCTGCCCCCCACTCCCGACCCGCAGCCCCCTGCCCGCCCAGCCCCGCCGCTGCCCCCCACTCCCGACCCGCAGCCCCCTGCCCGCCCAGCCCCGCCCCCCAGCCCTGCCGCTGCCCCCCACTCCCGACCCGCAGCCCCCTGCCAGCCCAGCCCCGGCCCCCCCAGCTCTGCCGGTGCCCCCCACTCCTGACCTGCAGCCCCCTGCTAGCCCAGCCCTGCCCCCCAGCCCTGCCGGTGCCCCTCACTCCCGACCCGCAGCCCCTAGCAGGGGAGGGGGAGGCAGGGAGCTTTTGCATCAAGATCCCAGGCTGACATCACCTCTGTCCCCCCACTTTCGCCAGGGAACCCAGCACCCCCTTTGTCCCTGCACCCCAACAATTCCCTGCCCCCAGAATCCACCTGATCCCAATTCCCCCTGCACCCCATCCCTCACCCCATGCATCCCCCTTTCCACCCCCCACAATCTCCCCACATGCCCTCCTCCGTCACACCCTCAAATCTCCCACCCCCCAAAATCCTGTGCCCCTCCTACCACCAGGGCCCTGTCACCCCAAACATTACCCCACTAGCCTGCCCCCCAATTCACCCCATCCCCTCTACTGACCCTGCCCCACTTCAGACCCAGCCTCCCCTCTGGGAGAATTGGGGTGCCTCTGCCCCACCACCACATTACTTCAGGCTGTGGGGCTCCCCCTTACCTGGCGCTTGCCTGCTTCCACTAAACTGCTCTCTGTGGGGGGAAATGCCCCGGCCCCACAGCAGGGGGAGGATCCCCGGCAGTCAGGGGGAGGAAAAGGGGGTGCAGCAAACGGGGGCCCCTTTCGCTCCTCTCCCCGCCCAGCTCTGTGCTTCACCCCGTCGGGCCGCTCGCCCAGCGCAGCCTTCACTCCGGCCCAGGGCCCTATATACGCTGGGGCCCCCCCGGCCCCGGCTGCGTTGGAGGTAACAATGGGTTGCCATGGTAACGGGATGCGGGGGCGCAGGGGGGACTGTGCGTCAGCTGCTGACACAGAAAGGAGAAGGGGGGGCAGCTTCCGGGTTCCCCGATGCCTCCAGCCGCCCCTGGCCCCTCCAGGGGGCACCGGCCCCACCTGGCCACAGGGTGGCACTGGCTGGCTCGGGGGCAGGGGGCCTGTGCTGGAGGGGGGGCCACCGGCCCAGGTGGCAGCAGGTTGAAGTCTCTCTCCACCCCCTCATCAGCCCCCATCCTGAACCCCACAGGGAGTCACGAAGCTGCCGGTCCCCCCACACCCAGCGCGGCCGCAGGGGGGCACGTGAGTCACCAGGCTCCTAGGGAGAGACTACTGCCGGATGGGAGTGAGGGGCGCCAGCATGGCTCGGGGGGGGGGGCAGAGGGCTGCGGGTCGGGAGTGAGGGGCACCGGCAGGGCGGGGGGCAGGGCTGGGCTGGCAGGGGGCTGCGGGTCAGGAGTGAGGGTCACCGGCAGGGCTGGGGATCAGGGTTGGGCTAGCAGGGGGCTGCGGGTCGGGAGTGAGGGGCACCGGCAGGGCTGGGGGTGTTCAGGGCTGGGCTGGCAGGGGGCTGCGGGTCGGGAGTGAGGGGCACCGGCAGGGCTGGGGGGTTCAGGCTGCGCTGGCAGGGGGCTGCGGGTCGGGAGTGAGGGGCACCGGCAGGGCTGGGGGGGTTCAGGGCTGGGCTGGCAGGGGGCTGCGGGTCGGGAGTGAGGGGCACCGGCAGGGCTGGGGGGCAGGGTTGGGCTGGCAGGGGGCTGCGGGTCGGGAGTGAGGGGCACCGGCAGGGCTGGAGGGCAGGGCTGGGCTAGCAGGGGCTGCGGGTCGGGAGTGAGGGGCACCAGCAGAGTGGGGGGGGGGGCAGGGCTGGACTAGCAGGGACTGCGGGTCGGGAATGAGGGGCACCGGCAGGGCTGGGGGGCAGGGTTGGGCTGGCAGGGGCTGCGGGTCGGGAGTGAGGGGCACCGGCAGGGCTGGGGGCAGGGTTGGGCTAGCAGGGGGCTGCAGGTCAGGAGTGAGGGGCACCAGCAGAGTGGGGGGGCGGGGCTGGGCTAGCAGGGGCTGCGGGTCGGGAATGAGGGGCACCGGCAGGGCTGGGGGGCAGGGTTGGACTGGCAGGGGGCTGCGGGTCAGGAGTGAGGGGCACCGGCAGGGCTGGGGGGCAGGGTTGGGCTAGCAGGGGGCTGCAGGTCAGGAGTGAGGGGCACCAGCAGAGTGGGGGGGCGGGGCAGGGCTGGGCTAGCAGGGGCTGCGGGTCGGGAATGAGGGGCACCGGCAGGGCTGGGGGGCAGGGGTTGGGCTGGCAGGGGGCTGCGGGTCAGGAGTGAGGGTCACCGGCAGGGCTGGGGAGCAGGGTTGGGCTAGCAGGGGGCTGCGGGTCGGGAGTGAGGGGCACCAGCAGAGTGGGGGGGCGGGGCTGGGCTAGCAGGGGGCTGCGGGTCGGGAGTGAGGGGCACCGGCAGGGCTGGGGGGCAGGGCTGGGCTGGCAGGGGGCTGCGGGTCGGGAGTGAGGGGCACCGGCAGGGCTGGGGGGCAGGGTTGGGCTGGCAGGGGGGCTGCGGGTCGGGAGTGAGGGGCACCGGCAGAGCTGGGTGGACCCAGGTGTCCGGAGGGCGAAGAACGGCTCTGGATAAAGGCAGTGGGTGAGGGCAGGGTCTGCCGGGTTTTGTCTCTGTTCCCCACTTGGGGGTCCTGGTTTGGGGGTCAGGAGGGCAGCGTCTCCTCCTCCTTGCGGCCCCCAATCTGCCGACTGGCTCGGGCGGAGTCTTGAGGACAATCTGCCCCCGGGGGCAGGACGGGCCCCTCTGTGCAGTGGGAACCTGGGGAACTCACCACCACAAGGCACGCTGTAGCAAAGGGCCCAGCGCACCTCAACTCAGGATTGCAGCCTAGAGGGATCATGACCCCCCCTTCCGTCCTGCTCCCCACCAACTGCTCCGACCCTGCCCCCCGCATTGCCTCTGGTTGTTTCGAGGGCCCCTCCCCGCTTGCCCAGCTGCTGGGATGAAGGGGGTGGTTGGGGCAGGTCTGGGCTCTGAGCCGCTGCCCCACCCACCCCACATCACAGACACACACACCCCCCCGGACATGAGCACCTTGGGGCAGGAGGTCTCAGGCAAGGGGGGAGGCATTTCCTGGGGAGGCACCGCCCCTCACTGCCAGCATCCTGCCCTGGTTGGACAATGAGACACAGAGCCCTGCCTCTGAAAAGGGGCCACTTCCTGTGAGGAAATGACCCAGCAGGGAATGACAAAACAAGAATTCACACCTTCTCCTGGGAGGAACAGCCTGCTGGCAAAGGCGGTCCCATGTCCTGCCCCTGTGGCAATACAGGAAGTCCCGCCTCCTCCTGCGTGGAACAGCCTGTGGGCAACGAAGTCCCACCGCCTGCCTCGATAGCAATACAGGAAGTCCCACCTCCAGCCCTGATGACAATACAGCACGTCCTTACCTCTCACAGCAGAATACCAGGGTCCACACACCCTTGAATAGTGGGCGTAACAGGAAGTCCCGCCTCCTGGAGGAACAGGATCCTGCCGACTGAGTGCCCAGGATGGCCATATCTGCAAAACACTCCTGAGCCATGGGGCCCCTGCCCCAGCCCTCGGGAAGGCCCGACTCACAGACACACACACACCCGTGTCAGAGGTCCCAGCCAGGCCCTCAGGGAGACCATCCTGGGGTAGGAATTTCCCCTGCTGCCCCACCTGCAGGATCTCCCAAGGTGGTGTTTAGGTAGGGCCTCCAAATGGTAGAGAGCCCCACCCTCTTTAAGGACAGAGTGTCTCGCACTAGGGGGCCCAGCTTGAGGCCTCGGCTCAGCATGAACCAGGCAGAAGAAAGGAGACGCCAGAGGGCAAGAAACACATTTATTGCAGCAGAAACACTGGACAGACCCTTCCCCCGCCCCCAGTTCCCCTCCCCCCCCTTCCTCCCCCAGGCTGTAGGTTCTGCCCCCTCCGGGCAACACAGGGGGACATTTCCTGCTTCCCCAGCCCCTGGTGGGGGCGGAGCCATAGGTGTGATGGAGGCAGCTGTGCTGAGATCCTGACAGCCGTGGGGCCCATTCCCCTGCCCTGGGGCCGGAGAGGAGCCGGCGCCCTTTGAAGGGAAAGGCCCCGTGCCCCACTGGCTGACCCCACTAGTCCGTCACTGTTTTCCCTCCCGCATCTCAGTCCCCTGAGCTGGTATCTGGGCTGGAGCGTCCTTGGTGCGGCCGGATCCCAGCGCCAGCCCAGAGGATGCTGGGAAGGGGGCAGGGCCCCACGCCTGCCAGCCCCACCCCGGGGGTCAGTACTTGCGCTGGTGCAGGAAGAGCCCCGAGGGGCGCTGTGGGGATGGCGCCTCCTCCCGGTCCAGCTGGAAGAGGTCGCGGCCCGTGCGCAGGATCTGCTCCTCCAGCTTCTTGTGCCGCTTCATGTCCGACAACACCTTGTCCAGCCGGGCCTCGCGCTTCTGGCTGCGCGAGCCGCCTGGGGGGGAGGGCGGCATCAGGACCCCAGGGTCTATCCCAGCTCAGGGAGCGGAGGGCGGTCTAGGGGGTTAGAGCTGGGGGGCTAGGAGCCAGGACTCCTGGGTTCTAGCCACGGTTCTGGGAGGGGAGTGGGGGCTGGGAGCCTCCCAGCTCTGTTCGTACCTGGTGTTCTCCTGCGATCAATCAGGGAGCTCTTGGGCGTCAGAGGCTCATCGTCAAAGTCAAACTCAGTCGGGACCTGGGGCCTGGAGCACAGAGAGCGGAGGGGGTTAAAGACCCAATAGAGGGGGAGGGGCAGCCCCAGACGCTCAGCCCCCTGCCCTGCCTTGCCCAGTTAGTGCCCCTCAATGCCAACCCGCAGCCCCCTGCTAGCCCAGCCCTCCACTCACTTTTCCTCCTCCTCCTCTTCGCTCTCGGGCTGCCCATCAGACCTCTCCTCCTCCTCGCTGTCGGGCTCGGGGGTGGGGGCCCTGCGGGGCAGGATCTCGGCCTGGAGTGGCAGGGCGCCCTCGGCAGCGATCTGCTCGTAGAGGCGTCTGATCTCCTCGGGCGGCGGCATCCAGGCCTCTGGGGCCTCCAGCTCCTCGTCGCTGCAGGGGACACACCACCCAGCCTCCTCCCCCTGCCCCCGCTCCTCCACCTCTTCCGGCGCCGGCCCGTCCTCTCCCGCTGAAGCCGGCACTGGCTCCAGGGCATCCTCCACCGCCAGGGACTGCATCCCAGAGGTCACCTCGCCCTCCTCCACTGTTGTGGCCTCCATGGCGGGACGGGGCCAGGCTGCAAGGAGAGAACCATGGTTAGAGCATGGCTGGAGACCCTACAATAACAGCCCTGAGCTTAGATGCCAGTCACACCAACGCGGCGGCCATCTTGGGGCTCGCCACCTGCCAGTCACGCCAACGCGGCGGCCATCTTGGGGCTCGCCACCTGCCAGTCACGCCAACGCGGCGGCCATCTTGGGGCTCACGCCAACACGGCGGCCATCTTGGGGCTCACGCCAACACGGCGGCCATCTTGGGGCTCACGCCAACGCGGCGGCCATCTTGGGGCTCATGCCAATGCGGCGGCCATCTTGCGGCTCACGCCATCCTTGTCATGCCATGGCAGCCATCTTGGCCGTGGCCCCTGATGTTCACGCCAAGGTGGCAGCCATCTTGGGGCCGCCCCAACTGACCCTGCTGAGGGCTCCGGTCCCCGGCCAGGCCCACACTGGGGCTCCCAAGGGAAGCTGGGGGGAGGGGGGGGTCACATCCCAGCCACTGGCTGACAAGCAACCCAGGCCCCCGCCGCCATTTTGTGAAGCCTCTTGCTCAGGGCCCACCACTGCGCGTGCGCCACCCGCGCCATACCACGCGCATGAGCGACGGGGCCCGTACTGCGCCCCTCTCAGAGCGTCTTCGCCTCACTGCGCATGCGCCTCGTTCCAGTCGGCGCGGTCGCGCGCACAGCTCAGCGGTCTCGTCTTTGTCTTTCTTTAGTGCGCATGCACCACACCGCTCCCCCCCCCGCTGTTTGCGCATGCGCTCTTTATACTCACCATTCAAGTGCGGAGGCACTACTGTCTCAGTACGCATGCGCCACTGCTATGCTCTCCCCGACTTCAGCTCGGTTCCAACTTCCGCTCCCAGCCGCGGCGCGTGCGCCCGCCCCATCCCGCGCTCCTGATTGGTCGGCGTGACCGAAGGGGCGGGGCTAGCGCCCAATGCAAAAGGACTGGAGTCTGAACCGGACCCGAAGGAGAACTGGGGCTGGAGGCGGAGTCGGGGAGTGGGAGGGGCCGGTGGGAGGAGTCTGTGGCGGGTAGGAGGAGTCTGGGGCAGGGGTGGTGGGCGGAGCCTGGGGTGGGTAGGAGGAGCCTGGGGACAGGGTGGTGGGCGGAGCCTGGGGTGGGTGGGAGGAGCCTGTTGCTGGTAGGAGGAGTCTGGGGACGGGGCGGTGGGAGGAGTCTGTGATGGGTAGGAGGAGTCTGGGGATGGGGTGGTGGGCGGAGTCTGTGGCGGGTAGGAGGAGTCTGGGGATGGGGTGGTGGGCGGAGCCTGAGGTGGGTGGGAGGAGTTAGGGGAGGAGGGTGGATGGGAGGAGTTTGGGGATGGGGTGGTGGGAGGAGCCTGGGATGGGTGAGAGGAGGGTGGGTGGGAGGAGCCTGGGGTGGATGGGAGGAGTTAGGGGGGAGGGTGTGGGGGAGGGGTGGATGGGAGGAGTCTGGGGCAGGTGGGAGGAGTCTGGGGAGGGGATGGTGGGGGCACTCTGGGAGGAAGCAGAGGGGGGAGGATCCTGGAGCAAGGCATGCTGCTGGAGGAGGCAGGTCATGGTGGAGGGAGAAGAGGTTGGGGTTTGGGAGGGTCCTGGGCAGCCCCGTCCCTACCAATTATGGGGCCCTAAGCAGCCGAGCACCTGCTCCCCCCCACAGAGGGTCTGGGCTGCGCTCAAGGCCTGTGGAGGCAGGCGCGTTGGGGGGCCCCATAGGCCCAGAGCAGCCGGGGGGGTTAGTGGGGGGCCTGGTGCCAGCAGCAGGAAGCGGAACGACCTGGCCCCAGCCTGCTCCGCTCCCCCCGCCCCCGCCGTGTCCCTTGGGGGGAGGGCTCCGCCCCCTCCCGCCCCGCACTCACCGGCGCTGGGAAGCGGAGCAACGCAGCGGGGAGCCAGAGGAGTGGAGTGGGCTGAGGCTGGGTTGCACTGCTTCCTGCCACTGCCGGTGAGTGTGGGGGTAGGCCTGACCCCTGCTGCCAGCGCCAGGCCCCCTCACTAATCCCCTGGGCTGCGTCTGTTGCTGGGGGAGGGGGCTTGGGAGAAGGGGTGGAAAGTGGGGGCGGGAAGAGGCGGGGCAGGGGTGGAGGGAGTTGTCCTGGGCCCCGCACCCACCTAGAAACGTCCCTGCGCCTTGCAGGGGGCGCACCCCACAAGGGAGCCAGCTGGAGGATGGTACTGGCTGCCAGCACTGCCGCATATGAAGCACGCAGCTCTGTAGGGCACCATGAAATTTGGGGCAATTTGGTGCCCCAAATTCTGTGGTGCCCTATGCACCTGCATATTCTGCATATGTCTAAGGACGGCCCTGGTCCTGGGGGCAGAGTGCAGTGGGGAGCTGGGTGGAAGAGGTAGGAGTCACAGGGGGCCCTCCGCAGAGATGGGGGGCTGCCTGGAAATAGAGGGTTTATGCGGGGACCCTTGTCGGGCAGTGCACAGTGGGGGGGGGACGACAGGGAGACACTGGTGTCGCTGTCTCTCACTCCCCCCTCCCCGACAGCCGGCCCATCCTCCCAGCAGGCACTGGGCCATCTGATGTATTCCTTCTGTGAGCCCAGCCCAGGCACCGGAAACGTCGTAATTGGGGTGGAATACAAGGGCCCTAAAGTCAGAGGTGTTAACCCGACCCTGTCCAGCATTGAACGGGGGGTGGAGTTTGGCATACAGAGACCTCAGCATGCCAGGGGCCGCGGCAAACACCCGCTCCTCAGCCTTTCAACCTTCTGTTACAGGTACAGAAAAGAAGGCAAAACTGTTGAAGCCTTTGAGGTGAAATATTACAGCAGCTTTAGTTTTAACAACATCCCCGGTTCCCTCTGACTTTGGTTGTGAGGAGTCTTTAGAAAATAAAATCCCACCTTGACATGACCACCTTCACCAGACGAGGACATTCCCGCAGAGACGTACATTGCGTCATGGAACAAGCCACCCAGCTACCCCAAGAAAACCTGCTGCAATACAGAAATAAAAGCCCTGGAACCGCACACCCCCAATTGTCACCTAGCACCTTACCCTGGAACCCACACAGGATATCATCAAACAACTGCAGCCCATACTCGATGGGGATTCCATCTGAAAAATCTTTCCTGAGTTCCCTTTTTGGCCTTCAAACAACCCCCTGCCCCCTCTCCAAGCTCATCAGAAGCAAGCTCCTGAGAGGTGAAACCAGAAATCGGTGGGCTCTCGAGTGAACTCACACAGGAAAATGATAAAAGACAAAAACACCACATCACGGTGAACAATTGTCACAGAATGATCACTCCATATCTGACTTCTCCATCCTTGTCCTGAAAGGAAACCTGCACAAAACCTTCAAAATATAGCCTGGGAGCTTAAATTCATAACTCAACCTGACACCAAAAACCATGGACTCAGTAGAGACACTGGATTTATGGCTCATTACAACAATATGTAACCCACAAACCCTCCTTTGTCCTCGGACTGCAGAAGCCTTAGCTGCCCACCTCACTTTGAGTGGTCTCTTGTAACATGTGCTCCTTGTGCTAAACGATCCACTCTGCCTTCTATTTAGCTGTGACCCTCAGAGTACCTTTCTCAGCCCTGAAGACGAGCTCTGTGGAGCTCAAAAGCTCGTGTCTCTCACCAACAGAAGTTGATCCAATAATGGATATTACTTCACCCACCTTGTGGGCTGGTCTGCACTGGAAATATACATCGGTATAGTTACATCTCTCAGGGTTGTGAAAAATCCACACCCTGGAGCAATGCAGTTATCCCAACCTAACCCCCAGTGCAAGCAGTACTAGGTCGATGGAAGAATTCCATCTCGGAGAGGTGAATTATGCACCGATGCAGCATTTTAGGTGTACACTTACCCTCAGTCTTTACATGGCAACAACTGTTCTTTTGGGGGCAAAGGGACGCAGTCAAAATGAGTTGGAGCTGCAGTTGCTGTTGCTGTTAAAATCCGATCCCATTTCCTCCGAGACAAGACAAACAAAAGGAGAGACAGGAACAGCAAAGACAGAGGACACAGCTTCTGGTTATTATGAGAAACATGGGTCCAGCCCCTGGTGTGACCAGCCACGCTGAGACCTGGAAAACTTGGGCCAGTATCGAGCTGTGCAGAACAGTGGTTTAGCTGCCTCTCTGGTCACAGGCTCAGAGCTGGGTTGCAAGATATAGTCTTGGCCAACTAAGCCAAAAGGGAGAGAGACAGGATGGTGAAAAAATAAGGTGGGGAAGGAAAAGGACATGTGGTGCGGGGGAAGGTGAAAAGGGTGAGTGACACAGAGGGGTGACAAAGTCTCCCACCCCAGGGGGTGGTTAGGATTTACCCAAAGCAGGTGGAGGTGGCTACATCATCTGGGTCCCTGTCTGGGCTAGTCTGGTCATGACATCCCTCAGGATCAAGACAGTGAAGGCTTAGCAGAGTGATGGTGGATGCTGGGGTCCCAGGGGACAGTGAGGGTGGCAGTCATGATGGTGACACTTGTTCCTTTCTGTTCTGATTTTCAGTCGGCCAACATTGCTGCCGTTCTCCCCACAAAGTCTCTTTGAGGCCCTAAAAGGGAGTGGTGGCTGGAATGGCCAATCCCCTCATTATTTTGTTCACCCATTTGGCCAAGTTTCCAATCATTGATTTCCAGTTTCCCATTTCTTTTGTTCACAGGCATGATCTGAATACAGTTCTGGAGTTAGATCGGGAGGGACAAGAAAAGCAAAAACAGATTTTGTTTGGACTAATACAGTCTGTCACCCTTTGGCACCTTTGCCCATCATCATTTGCTGTTGTAGGTTACTGTGACATCTCATGAACGTTCACTCCCTTCTCAATTGTGGTCTCTATTAGATAAAAACAAACCTTCGTTAATCAGTTTGGTTAATGGATTTCCCCATACCACCATCCTTGGGGCTCTTTGAATTCTGATGGCTTAACTACACAAAAGGACTCGAGCTACATTTGATTGTAGAGAATTGTATTAACTATCCTTAAGAGCAACATATAGGGATAAGAAGGCAAAAATACCAGCAGTATAGTTTTGCTAACAAACTAGAAAATTGGCCTATACGATAATGGGCCTATCCAAGTTTCAGGAATCACATAACAACTGCAATAGAAAAGAACACTTATTCACTCAACATCTGTTCTGGGAAGGTGACTTTGTCCAGGTGATCAACCCCAGTGTTGCTAACACAGAGGAAAAAATAATCCAAAGGTAAAACGTAAGACAGTCTGGGCAATTATTTACATCTTAATTCATCAAAGTCTCCTTTGCAATGGATCTATACCAGTCAACCCTTTTAACCTAGTTCTCCAGGAGTTATATGAGCCCCCGAATCTGCTTAACACTATCTAACTTGAACTCCTACGTTTAGGCTTGGAAGGATTCGATTTTTATTGGTCAATGTCAGTAAATGTCGATTTCACCACACGCGCCAACCGACGAAGCAGTATTTCCGTCAAGTAATCATCTAAATGAACAGTGAGGCAAAGTAGGAAAAATGCTGCTTGTGAACTTCCTAGTTTGATGTCAGGCTACTGACTTTGTATATTTTGGCACATGATGTTAACAATTAGTTTGTTCGTGGTTATAAAGCTTTCACCTTTTCATCTCAATGCCTGCTGTCATTAAATCATTATTGTCTGACTGCCAATAATTTCCCACAACTGTGAACATTTAAAGAGATTTAAAAAATTAAAATGTTTAAAAACAAACTTCAATATTAACAGTCAACTTTATTTATACAAAATCTGCCTCCCTTCCTATATTTATGTTGGATGCATGGACTGAGTTCCAAAGGCCACACGCTTTGTTCTTGTGTTATGTCTGTAGACACCTAGACCTTGAAAAGCAGCATGAAATGATTAATTGTGGTAGACACATGCACAGTCCTTCACAATCTTAAATAACAGTACATTGTTTAGTTACTGTATAACGGGGTTCAAAAAAGAATTAGATAACTTGGGGGGAGGGATAGCTCAGTGGTTTGAGCATTGGCCTGCTAAACCCAGGGTTGTGAGTTCAATCCTTGAGGGGGCCATTTAGGGATCTGGGGCAAAAATTGGGGATTGGCCCTGCTTTGAGCAGGGGGTTGGACTAGATGACCTCCTGAGGTCCCTTCCAACCCTGATATTCTATGATTCTATGAACTTCATGGAGGGTGTGTCCATCAGTGGCGGTTAGCCAAGATGGTCAGGGATTCAAACCCATGCTCTGGGTGTCTCTAAACCTCTGACTGCCCGAAGTTGGGACTGGGTGACAGGGGATGGATCACTCGATGAATTACCCTGTTCTGTCCATTCCCTCTGCAGCATCTGGCATCAGCCGCTGTCAGAAGACAGGATACTGGGCTAGATGGACCGTTGGTCTGACCCAGTACAGCTGCTCTTATGTAGTTTTAAACTACTTTACAACAACCTTGCCAAGAACTAGTTATGTAGCAAGGACACACACTGTAACCCTGTCACAGTCTTCAAAGCACACACACCCTTCCCTACTAATTAGCTACCCAGCTTCAGGAAGTGGTCACTTGACTCATTTGGGTCGACATCCAAGAGAAAGTCTGCGTGTTACTTATCACCAGCTCCTTGTTCAGCCGTCAGTGCAGTTACTGTTCACAGCAGGAGGGACACTGCAAACACAGGTGAAGGGAAGGACGGGCCAAATATAGCCTTCTCCCTGTGTGCTGGCGGGCAACTTGAATTGCTGGAAGATGGAAGAAACAGTTAAAGGGGCCTGCCCAAGATGTCTCCAGGAGGACTCCCAGGGGGCCAGCCCAGGATCTCAGCTCTTCTTCCTTCCAGGTGTCTTGATGTTCAGGAAGCAACACGCTGAAGGAAACTGGTTGTTTAATACCATTTCCACTGCCGGGGGGGCGACTTGGGTCCTCTTTCGGAGCGGCTGGTGTGGACCAATCAGAAGGTGACTCATACTCCCACCAAAGATTTGAATCATCCAACCAAAATGTGAGTCATTCCTGCCCTGCATCCAGGCAAAGGACGATGCATCACCTTTGAGTTCATGTGACTGGAACTGGAATTTTCCTGTCTCTATAAGTGCAAAATGCCGTATCACACCAGCTTGTGGAAGACAAGACAGGCCAGAGTTGTTGTACAGCCATCTTGGGACTGATGTTGAACTCTGGCCGGCTTGCTTCAGGCAGCACCGTATCGCTCCAAGTCACTTTCCTTGGGCCCCTCTGCAGTGTGTCCCTTGGCCAGCTTTGCACACAATGCTTACTCGAAGTTGCAGTTTCTTCATCGATGCTCTGCGTGCTACTGAAATGTCCAATTTACTGTTCACGTCATTGATCCAACGTCCCGCCACAGCCTTTTCAACTTGTTTTAAAGTCCATCCTACAATGCAAAGTCACTCCAACAACTGCTGTTCTCCAGTGGGCTAGAACAGATGTTTAAATCTTCCATTTCTGGTCTCCTCATCTAACCAACGGTGCCAGGTCCTTTGTGCCTACAGCTAAGCTGTGTCTGTGCGTTACTGATCAAACAGTCACATTTCTGATAATTCAACTCTGTGATCAACTTCATTTCCTTTTATTTACTGCCTCTTTCAATACAACTTTATTTCATTAACGTGGTAGCTGAACGAATATTTTCAATCAGGCTTACGCTTACCTCTTCACTTTTTCACTACACTAAAATAAGTCGATATCAGGGGCCCCATTGCTTTCCTGGACAGAATGACACAGGAGCTAAACCCTGTCATGCAAGTTTTTATCACTTACAATGGGCTTCCTTTTTGTAGCTACAACAACCATTCATCAACCTAGATGATTTTGCTACTACTGCCTCTGGCAACGTAATATAGCTTCTTAATATTTAATATCCATATTTCAGTTCATTCATTCACAGGCAGGGTGTTAACTCTTCAGGTCTGATTCAGTATTAAGGAGACCTCAGGATCCATCAGCTTGACTGCCTTTATTAAATCATTAGTTAATTAGCACATAAGAGTATAACTATCAACACTGCAGCGGATGACATGTCCTTTCCTAATTCTGCCATTGGCTATGGTTTTGATCATTTTACAGCAGCACTGTCTACAGTTTCAGTCTCAATACTTCCTCTTTTTCACAGCCTACCTGTGTATTTGTAGCCCATTTTCTAATATTCCACTAGATTTCCAGTTACACAACTCAGTTGTCTGGGGTTTATTTAGGGCTGGAATATCCAAATTTTGCTAACCCAAGTGTCTGATACTTATTGTTAAAAATCATAGCACTTGCTAAGCAGGTCTTATCTGTTCTGCTAAATCTTCACACTAGCTTTCTCCTTCTTAACATGACTGTTTGTCACATTATGGGTACGCTTCCTCACAGCCAAGCCAATAGGCCTTAGAAAAGTGCTTGAAAAGTCTGGCCTTGAAGTAAGCATGGAAGGATGCAATTTTTTATCAATGTCAGTAAACATCGATTCCACCGAACACACACACCGATGACAAAATATTTCCACTGATAATCAAACTTTATAGACAGGCAAAATAAGAACAATGCTTCTTGAGAATTAGCGTTGATTAAAGGCAAGTTACTCTCTACATTTTGACATACGATGTTGAGAATTTATTAGAGTCCCAGCTTAATGTGTGTAAAACATGGTGTAATGCCAGTGTTAGGAGAGCTGGAGAAGGGACGCCATGAGCCTTTATTTGGATGTGGTGCTGTGACGGAGTAGTGAGTAGGGAGTATTAACCTGGTAATGTTGCATGGGAGTTTTAGTAGTTTACTATCTGCATTAATACTAGATGGTGATGGGAAATAAGGGTGTGACTTCACTGAGGGATGATTCTTGACGGCCAGCACATAAAGGATGGCGGCTGCCCTTCCTAACCTGAGCCCAGGAGGGGGTTGGGGCCAGGTGACACCTTCTGCCTGGGAAATTGGACAAAGGCTGGAGGAGGGGCCAGGGGTGGGGCTGGGTGAGACGGCTGAAGGGGGTTTCAGTTTGGAGCTGGCCTGGGCTCCCACCCCTTAAGATGGACCTGACTGAGGAGTCCTGTTTTCTGTATCTACAAGCTCTGTTTTGGACTGTGTTCCTGTCGTCTAATAAACCTGTGTTACTGGCTGGCTGAGAGTCACGGTGACTCGCAGGAAGTGTGCGGTGCAGGGCCCGGACTCCCACACACTCCATGACAATTGGTGGATAGTACTTCCTGCAGTAAGTGACTGGGGAGCAGTAAAATGAAGGGGGATTAATGAGGACCAGGCGTGCTGAAGGCTCAGAGGGGAGCGGTTTCAGGAGGCAGAGGAGCTACACTTAACTCCTGGGAGTGTGTGACCAGCGAGAAGGATTGTTGCAGTAACGGGGTCCCCCTGCGGACTGCAGTGAGCGGTTCCAGGGGCAGAGGAATCTGCGGCTTGACCCTGGAAGAGAGGTGGTGACCTGGAGAAGGGCTGGCACACTAGGGGTTCTCCCTGGAAACCGTGGGCTGCTGAGAGCACACAGGCCTGCGAGTCCGCACCAACTTGGGAAGAGCGGGAAGATGTATAACCAGCTCCTTAAGAGGGACTGTGTAGAGCTGTGCAAGCCGAGGGGGCTTCGCAGAGGGAAGGTCACCAAAGCACAGCTGATTGCCCAGCTGGAGGAGGAGGATTGCTTGGAGGAGCTGATCCCTGCCCCAGAGGGAAGCAGCCTGGCAGATGCAGTGCCAGGACAGGTGTCTGTCCCGGCTGGGAGGGGTCAGACTGCTGCCGAGGGCATTCCGAGGCCCCTCCTACATATGGCTAGGGGAGGGGCTGGAAGGAGCCTGGTGAACCCCAGGCACACCGTGACCCCCGCGGCCAGCAGGGGATCATCACAGTGGAGCCCCCCATTGCTGGAGCTGAGGCAGCTGGAATGGGAGAGGGAGATAAACTGAAAGAGTTGGAGGCTCTGGAAAAGCAGCGGCAGCGTGAGCTGGAGTTGGCGAGGCTGAGGAGCAGAGAGCCCCCTGCTGCAGTGAGTGAGGGGGGATCCAGGACTGCATGGAGCTTTGATAACTGCATCCTGTCCCAGTTTAAGAAAGGGGAGGACATAGATGAATTCCTGATTGCCTTTGACAAGGCCCGTGAGCTGCACAGGATTTCTCACCCCCTTACTGGACCCCCAAAGCCGTGGGGATGTACAGCCGAATGGAAGGGGTGGAGGCAGGGTACTATGAACTGTTCAAAAAGGTCCTGCTATGCAAGTTTGGGATGACTCCCAAGGCATATCAGAAAAAGTTTCGGAGTCAGCGTAAAACCCCTGAGGACACATATCTGGAACTGATCCTCCGAATGGAGGAATATGTCCACAAGTGGGCAGATGGGGCCCAGACTAAGGAGGACATGATTAAACTGATTGTACTGGAGCACCTGTATGAACATTGCCCATCCGACCTGAGGATATGGTTGGTGGACAAAAAGCCAGAGGACCTACAGAGCGCAAGGCAGATGGCCAATGCGTTTGTGGACAGCCAGTCATGGGGTGGACAGGAGGAGTCCCAAAGGAATAAGCCCACCACGGTGCAGAGAGAGAGTCATCCTGGGACCCCCCAAAGGGGGAATGTGAAGAACCGCCTCTCCAGGGGAACAACCGGCACCAGGACCAACCGCCCATCTCAAGGGAACCAACAGAACTTGAATTGTTATTACTGTAGCCAGAGAGGCCACATATGGACCCACTGCCCCAAGCTCAAGGACAGACTGAGCAAATCGAACCCTCACAGGGTTAACTGGGTAGGG